AACAAAATGCCCTTTTTGCTCCCCAAAATCTGATATATCCAAATAATATGGATGCATAGTAAGCTATGTCCGAATAAGATAAACTGATGATAAATCAATTACTAATYATTAGAAAATGTCAGAATTAGGATRCTTGCATTAGACATTATCCATAGTTRTGTTAGGTTTGTGTGTTGTTTTTTCCATTGGATACACATTGCCTTCACAARCAATGCACAAGACAGAACTACCCCTCAGTATGAATTGAAGTTGTGTAATAAAAGCCACTTTCCTTAGGATCTAGAGTTTGTTGTAAAGAAAACAAGGAAACAGATTTCAGAGTAAGAAAGGGTGCTCATATGAAGATGACGGATTATTATCCTAGAGAACTAGWTTATATTCCTACCTCTACCAATGAGTTTGTACAGAGTTTCTTGGATCACTACACCACATTTTTTGTGCTAGTTTTGTGGAATGCTTGGACGAAGAGGTTGATTCTGAATTCTTGATATATTACTCAATATAGCTGTAACTGAAGCTGAGTGGAAGCTGTTTTGATGAACATACGAGCACAGAATGACAACAAAGGAATGCAATTTTTTGGTACTTTTGACTTCAGTTTCTTTTTGTTAAGTGTAATCATTCCACACACTTGCGGCAAAGAGGGTTAACTGATTCATTCTTGCAAARCCTTGAGGTGCTGGGATGATAAACATGTTAGAAAAATTATYAGGAAAATAGATGTCTAACTTGATTAYCATTTTGATGGTATAGAATAAACAAATTGTAAGCYAAAATATTGAACATTGAGAACTGAATTGATTAGATACTCATTAATTTAACATATGCTTCACACTGAACAGGACAAAGAGATCTAGTGGAAATGTATATACAGGTACTGTACATATAACTGTACTTAATATATTTATAGAACTTAAAATTACATTGGCTGATCATTGCACAGGAACAGCAGATTCCTGCTTCTCCCCAGCTCTTCTGACAGTTTTTTATCTGGCATTTCAGTTTCCCTGTATGCCTCCTAGTGCCAATTCTCCCTAATTGTTTCTCAATTGTCCTGGACTTCTACTCTTCTTGTCTTCATCTCTTTTCCCAGTTGTTTTTTTTTTTTCTTTTGTAAAATTATCCAGTCCCGTTTTCACAAAAAAATATAAAAACTTTTAGTTAGTTTTCTCTTTTTCTCATAATTCAAAAGTTATTACCTTCTGAGTAGCATGGCTTTGTTTATCCTGTAGTGCCTGTAAGCTGGGGACTTACCTGAAACACAGCTGGTCAATGGATKAAGTGGGATTAACTGATCCATAAAATATAGGATTTAATAGTTTTATATGACCTTGWCATTAATATGCTAACCTAATTTCCCTTGAATATTGTTACTTTGGAATATGAAATGACAGAATATTTCTGTAAAACACTAAAAAAAAAAAATAGAAACACAGTTTAATGGCTTCATTAGCAGTCTGGTCTACTTACCTGGTGCAAAGATAACTGAAATTCTCTCCTCTCTTTTTTTTTTTTTTTCAAATTCTTCTTCCAGGAATCTATATCAACCTGCAGATTTGCACAGCGAGTTGCTCTTATTAAGAATGAAGCAGTTCTTAATGAAGAAATTGACCCCAGATTGGTGAGAGTTGTCTGGGGACAGGGGAAAGAAGACTGCTTGGTTTAAATTTTATTAATCAATAGCAGTCAAATTGATGTTGAAGATATTATATTGAAACATCCCATTAAAATTTTCAYGTGCAAGCTCCATTTTTCTTTCTATAAAACAACTACCACTTTGATTTTTTTCCCTTTGGRCACCATTATAATTAAATGGAGTTTTATCAAATCTCTGAAGTTTTTCTCAGCTCCTAAAGCATCGGAGGAGAAAGTCACTTTGATTATATCCTAGTGATTTTTTTCAGAGTGATAGTTTCTAAATAGTAGTCCCAGATAATTATATAATTCTAAATCTTTAAAAATTCTACTARGATTACTRGTCACTWGATGAAGGCACACTGCTGCRCTGAAACAATTTKTRTTTTAAAAGGCTAAGAAATATACTGATACTGAGTCCTTCCTGAAATGTATTCAAGGAACATTTCAGCTAGGAAGAAAGATTTCCGTGAAGTTACCATTAGGGAAAAAAAATAAAGGAGACAGAAATAGGATTTCCAGAATCTGCAGAATGCTGGATTATATAACATAAGAAGCATTTGTCTAAATCTCAGGGTTTCTATAGCTAATGATCCATTGTTACTTGATGGCAATTAGCATATTTCAGTCACTGTTAATAATTGTGCTTTTATTTGTCTCTTGTGCTTGAAGTTCAAAGGGAATGGAATATCCTTGTCAAATTTTCAGCTGGTTTTATTTTTTTTTCCCAAGCAATTACTAATAGCAACAGCATCACAGATTTAAAAAAAAATAAAAAGGCAAAAAAATAAACCCAATAGGCATTGAACAATTTATTTCTGTCTTGCTGTTCTCTTTTTTCTTTTCTACATAGCCTTTCTAGTAGAAAATCATGCAAAACATTTCTCCCATGGCCACAGAAATCTTTGATTGAGGTAAAACACATTYAGGCTCCTGAACATTTACTACATCCTGTGGAGCTATACTCCAACAGTTTGGTATGTCTCGCTCTGCAGGATTATTTAGCAAGTAAAGCAAAAGTGGACTTGTGAGAGTTAGAAAACCATCCCCTCTTGTGGAAAAGGCAGGGGAACACARGTACCTTAAGTTTATATGGCCCTGTGCTCACTGTGGAATTTGTTGCCCATCTTAAGTGTATTCCCAGGAATTATGCAACCTTATTTTTCAGTCAAGTGCTGTATTTAAGATTTTTTCATAAAGATTGACCACAATATTGGCAGCAATTGTTTYGCCATTTATTTGTAATTTATAAATTGCAATATGAATGCATTTATTTGCATTTTTAAATTGCTTGAAAATTATTGGCAAGGCACAATTTATTGTCTGTCATCTGTGAGTTGAGCAAATACTTTATAAAGGGAGTTCACAATACCTCTTGGTGAATCTGAGTTAAGTCTGATTGTTGTGTGAACTTTATTCTTCATAATGGAGATCTCCTGACTTTTTATCTAAGAAGATGAACTTGGACCTGTTGTACTTTTAAGTGACTTGTCTTTGAACTTCTCTCACTCGTGGCCAAAGAATGTATTTTATCATTTTATACAGACATTTATTCCTAAAGTATAGATCCAACAATGACTGCTTAGAATTTTCAAGTCTAGGTCAGTTCTCCCTGTAATATTCTCACATTACTATTCATTAATGCAATTTAATTATGTTGCTTTATGCTATCAGTTTGTTGCTAGCAACTGATGCATCCTACTGGTATGCTATAATTCTAATAACAGCAAAATGTCRCATGAAAAAGAAGAAAAGTTAAGATTAAAATTAAGACAGCATTTTGAAACTTGTGTTCTTATAACGGAAGGTAAAAAAACCACATTTGTTGTGTAGTTGCCCTTTCTCTAATGCCCTTTCTCAGTTCTTAAATGTGTTTTCATTATTAAGAGACGAAACTAGTAAGAAAAACTCTTTATATGTCAAATTGTAWTTCTCTTTTGCAAAAAATCTTTTGAACTCTTCCCATACAGCCATGTGTTCTAACACAAAAATTTACTGAATTTGGAAAACTTTTCCTGGGTTTATAAACGGAAAAAGAAAAAAAAAAGGTGCTTGGTGTATTTAAGCCATTTTGACAGGTTTTTTTTTGTTTAAAAAAAGAGAAAACTAAACTATAATATTTACCTAAACTCAATCTTCTACTGCAAAAATCATAAACTAGTTATTAATTTATAAGTGATGCTTGGTTTATGCCTTTTGGTTTATGCTGTTTGTAGATGATTATCCAGCTGAAAAAGGAGATCCAGGATTTGAAGGATGAGTTGGCACTGGTGACTGGCAAGCAAAGAACWTCAGAGCTTTCTCAAGAAGAGCTACTTCAGTAATGGCTTACATTGTTTCTTTTTCTTCTTTTATTATTATACTTTTCATCAGTTTCTTTATTAACATAAATATTTAAATTAATCTCAGAGTTTTAACTTCCTTGAGTGAATAATACAGTGAAGTTAGGTGCCAGTATGGAATGGCAGATTTCCATGAAAAGCTCTATGAGGCTGCTGGCTGTGTTTTTGCAGCCTCAGCAYTGAGGAAGTGAAGTAAATGCAAAGGATGGGAATGCCTGTCCAATGCCAGGCAAAAAGAAGTGTTGTATAATAGAGCAGAATGAAAAATAGTCACTCTCAAAACTGTGTATGCAATCTGAGTAGAGTTCAAGAAATATTCTTGTGTTGAGAAGTGTCCTGGTGCAGTGTTAGTTTGACATAAACCAAAAGAAATCTCACAGTCCTGATCCACAATTAATCAACATCTTAAAAGCCAATTTTTTTTTTTAACTGAATCTGCTATTAAAAACACAGTATTAATTCACGCGAGTATTGTAACATTCTGCAACTTTGGTAACAGATCAGTACAGCATGTAAGAACTTTCTACAGGTAATGTCTTTATTTAGATCTAAATGTTCACTAGAACTGAATTCAACTTCCAGGCTTGATAAATTGATTCTGTAGGGTAGACCTATTTAATCTCTGTACCCCATCTCTATAAAGAAAGTAAAAAGTTCCTAATTTTCTTTTATTAATACATTAACAGTAACCAAATTGCAGCTGTGAGAATTTTTAGCCTTTAATTTCTCTTGGGACTGGTCCAGAAGACAACTACCAGTGCTAGCAATTTCCCCTGACACATAGGAGAGTCTGGGGATGTGAGGTCAAGCTGCTACCTTGAACCTTGAGTTTCTCATGCAGATTCTCATCATTCATCRTTTACATCAGCAGTTACCAATATATTTTCCTTACCAGAAATGTTCCTGCRCTTCCTACTGAGTTAATATGTATTTATCATCTGCCCAAACATATGAGAGTCAAATGCACAAATAACATTACAGAGTAGGAATAGATGAGATCAAGACTAGCCATGGAAAGAAAAGTACCTTTCTTTTTCATTATATGCAGAATTAAATGCCCTTATTAGTTAGTTTCTTTTTATCCTGACAGAAGGGTAAAAAGAAGCCCTTCTTCTTACCCTTCAGAAGATGACTGACCTTTGGTGACTTTATTAAGACATACTTAAATAATCTATATATTCATTTCAATAAGTGCTTTCCTAATATTATTGTAAAAACCTGTCACATGCATTTTCCACTGTGGTCTTTTTGCTGCTTACTTCGTGTAGAGAAACTGGGATTTTGGAAATAAGACCACACTCAGGAATTTTATATCCTAAGATTTTTGCCTGACTTTTTGCCAGGGAAATGGCAGTCTTATAAATAGGAATCAGTTAATGGCTGATTAAATGTTTCACTATAAATATACAAAGGAAAACTAGGAATATACTATCTGCATACAGTTGCAATATAGCATACATCTGGGAGGCCTGATTTCAGAGTGTAAAAAGTGTACTAGTTGTATCATTTTTTACTTTTTATCTATATAGCTTAATATATAGTGGATTACACAGTCAGAAAAGGTTTTTTTCTGCGAGCATAACATGAAATTTTGCATCTCATTACTCTGGAAAGTGGCAGAGTAGAGACTTTAATGAGTTTCTATATGTTCTAAGTCACATAATGAGAAATAACTTTCAAGCACCTCAGCTGCATTAGTTCAATGCAAAATTTTAAGGTTTCTGGATTTATCATTTATTTGTATTTACTCAGGCTCATGTAGCACATGTGTTCATTTGTTTCAAAAATTAATTGTTTCTTGGAGCAAATGTTGTGAAATTAAAATACAGAACAGCAATTAAGTACTGCTGACTAGGATGTAATAATTTTGCTGAGGATCAATTATAAACAGGAAGAGTCTCAAACAATTAACCTCATCAATTATCAATGCCATATAATGGTATTTGCCAGGGATAATTTTTTTAATATGATTTAAAGTGGAAAAAAAAATAAAAAGTATGKACAGGATTTTTTCAAACACAAAAGCAAAGAGTGCTAGAGAATAACTTATGTACAAGAGTCAGACTGGCCTGTTAGTACCCTAGGCTGCAGTTGGAATGCTGAAAGTTAAGTCAAACTTTTCTAAAACAGTTCAAGGGGAGGAAAATATCAAATGTCAGGGTTTATGAGTTTTGCATTTGTATGTGTTCATGCAAACAGAAAGCTCACAGATAAACAACTGATGTCTCTCACACACCCAATGAAAATATAATTAAATGATAGTATAAAAAGCCACTACTTCAATGAAAATATCTTTCTGTGGTTTTGAACATTTATTCTTTTCGGGCTTGCTTTCATATGGCAATAACATTTGTGACCATGCTGATTTACATGTCTGAGCGTTAGGTCCATAAATATTCTGTGTTTATGACCATCAGCACACAGCATCTAAGAGTTCTGTCTCCAGTTAGAGTGTATCAGTACATAATACAGCAAATCTTCATGGCAGTTCTGTTTATTGGGACTGGCCATTTGAGTTTGGAGCTACTCATTATCTGGAGAGTTAAAGTACATATACTTTAATGTACACATTAAAGAATAAATATACAAGTGAGTAGTCCAAACACAAGTATTGACCTGGATGATGGCTGATAAAATAATGATTGACTATTACCGAGAAATACCTATATTGGGACTTTCATTTAGTTTTGCATGTGTAATGAAAGCTAAATAATATTATTTATCAGGAGCCATACACATCAGTTTGTTATGACAGGCAGAAGAGGAAAACATCCATGGTATAGGTGATAACACAACGTACTGTGTTAGGCTTTATTTCAAGTGGCCACCCAAGAATGGTTCTATGGTTCTTAAGGGACTTTTATTGTAGGGGGTGGTGGTGGTTATTATTTATTATTATTATTATTATTACTACTATTACTATTACTATTACTATTACTATTACTATTACTATTACTATTACTATTACTATTACTATTACTATTACTATTATTATTGTATTGCTTTTTAAAGATATTACACAGGAAGTTCTAATTAAGGTCATTATGGGTTTCAAATCCTAGTTAGAGATTTTTTCTTAGGATGCCTTCTGTTTAAACTTCAATAAACTGTGTCTCAACACGTATTTATAAATATCTATATAAATAATTCAAGTTTATAGAGTTCTTTTCCAAATTCTTAGACTTTGACAAAAGTCTTAGTCTTATTGTGACTAATTTTATTGCAAATAATTGTCTGATAAGGAGAAGCATTACAAAGTATAGTCTTGTAAAAAATGGATGTGTTTTAATTCTTTTTTTTTTTTTTTCTGAATCATACATATTTTAACAGAGATCACAGCAAAATTAATCTGCTGAAAGTATTCTAAGCTTGGTTTGTTTTTTTTTTACTCTTTGATGCTGAGCATAGATGGTCAAAGGCACAAAACCTGTCAGTGAAAACTCCATGCACTGAGTACGTATTAATTTTCTGCCCCACACAACTCTGTGTCAGGCACTTTTTAGTAGAAGACAAATGCCAAAATGAGACTAAGTCCAGTGGTGCATGTGTAGTTCCAATATTTTTTTACTCTAACAAAATGCTTATGGTATTGCAAAGGGTTTTTTTCTCCCTACATATGTTGCAGGAATTAAATATTACTGATTGCTTGGGAAATAAGTATTAATAATATGTGAAAAGTATATTTTCTCTGTTTCTTGACTTACAAAGTAAAGAAATGCCCAATGTTTCTTGGAATAGTGAGCTTCATTACGCTTGTTTACATTCAGATCCTTCCAAATTAAATTGGTGGGCTGCTCAATACAGTTGAAATTGCTAAATATTTGAAGGTAGTATATGAATATATATATTTTTTTCTCCTCATTCTTCACTGTTTTTTTCTTCAGTTAAATCAAAGCATTCTCTTCAGGGATTTTTTTTTTTTTTCATTCATTTAATCGTAGGAAAAAATCTATCAAATAAGCTTTCCTTATAAACACTGCAATGTTACATTGCCATTCACTAACTTTAAAAAAAAAAAGAAAACAAATGCTCTTGACTTTTCTTGTGAATGGTAAATTATAATATGACACAACTTATCAGTCATGTGACTAAAGCTCCAGCTGTCTGGAGTTCAGAATTCTGTGTTAAATGGTGAGAATTTGCATTACTATGTCATATTTTTGACTTTATTATTTTGTTCTCATAAATGTTAAATGTAAAGGAATTCTTCCCCTGTCATTTTGTTTATCTAAAAAGCAGAGCATAAAAAATTCAGCTAGACTACATAAGTGGTTCAGAATGTATTTCATAACATGCTTCCAAATCTGAATTGCTTGCTTTGGATGTTACCTTCTACTTCCTCAGCTGTAAGGGCTGATCTAAATATTTCTTTGAGCTGGAGAATTAGTTTCTTATTTAAGGGAAAGAAAAAAATAGAAAAAGAGGTTCTTTGAACTATTTAAAAAAAAATAGAAAATAACATCATACATCGCAAATACAATGACATTGTACCCTTTCAGGCTTCTACATTGTGCTTTAGAATAGAATTAAATTACCTTTTTTTTTTTTTTTTTGTGAATTGTGTGCCAAAAGTAAAATCGAGAGTCCTTTTTGTTTGAATCATTTGGGATTTTTTTTTTTTTTAATAATATAAATGACTGCACTAGCAATTTACAGTGTGTGCCCAGAAAGTCAGGATTTCAATTCAAGGTCCTGTGTTCCAGAGCACCCACGCTTCCAGAGCCTTTGCCAGTTGGAAATGTCTAAGAACAGGACCGGAAGTACTGGCTTAGCACTTAAATTTATTAATAACTTTACCTTATTTCTTTCAAATACATATGTTATTACAGACACTTCTATTTTTTACTGCAACAGTCATATATTGTTCATCTTACTCAAGTCCTGGAGATCTCATTACTTCTGTCTTTCATTTTTCTGTTTCAACATTGTGACATCTGYATGCTATCATAGTATTAACAATATTGCACTGTTGTACAAT